AGAGCTAGGGCTGCTGTTTCCCTGGGAGGCAGGGAAGGGGATGACATCAGGCAGCGGCAGAAATGCAGGGTCTGCTGGGAAAAGAGTACTGATTTTAATATGCAAGGAACAGTTCAAAGCTGTGCTAAGGGGTTTTAATTAACCCTGAATGCTATGGCAGAGGAGGCAGTAGAAGCCAGCAGCATCTCATTCATCATGTGTTTGGTTAAACGTCAGAAGCTAACGTTTCTCATAAAGATCCATCTAAGGTAGCCTAGGAAAAACCTATACAGAAAATGGTGAAACACTACAGTAACTACAGCTTCTTATCTGCTTTCTGCAGGCTCCAGCCATCCAGCACAGACCCTGCCCTCTAGCCCCAGGTTATATAGCAACAAACTGCTCCACTCCTAGAAGCAGGGATAAGGATACCAGAGGAGGCTCAGGATTTTCCATCCATGCTTAGCCTGTCTCCCATTATGCAGATGCTGCACAGCAGTCTCCTTGCTTGCTGGGAGGGTGGGTTACTTGCTCTTATCACCGATGAAAGCCACTCTGAGTCAGCTACTGAGACACGTTGCGGGTGACGTAATTCCACAATACTGTCATTCTCCAGACAGCTGGGAACTGAGTCCCTAAGCCTCTCTGCAGCCCAAGCTCCACCCGTAGGAGTCTTGCCCATCACTGGCCCCAGCTGTGAATGATTGGTTCAGCAGCTTTTGGGGTGTCTTACAAATCCTGCCTAGCCTTCAGAGAGGAGAAACGCTCCTGGGTCCTAGTGCAGGCGGAGTTCTCTACTGGCACTACTTGTCTTTTCCCTCCAGTGCAACCATACAGAAGGCTATTACCATGCAGAGATTATTATTTGAATGGTGGTAGCACATTGGGGGCCCCACGCTGTGAGGAGATGTACATATACAACAAGAAAGATCCCTGCTCTGAGGAGCAGTCACACTCAAAGTCCAAATCAAACAGCAATGGAAACATTGCCACAAGTTTGTTTTTTTAATCCACTGAGAAGTCCCCCCCCCACCTCCACATCACAAGCCTCCCCTGCAGGATTTGAAACCCAAATGTTGCAGTAGTGCATCAGACGCCCACCCCACAAAACAGGCTTATTTTCATGGGCCAAGCAACAAAATGCAAAGAGCATAAATGTAGACCTGGAAGTTTGATGTAAAAACTTCAGACCACCTGAGCAGTATTTGTAAGAGACGAGAACACCCATTTTTAAAAATACAATTTTTACATATTGTTTCCCCTAAAGCCCTCTGAATTCTCCAAGTCCTGGCTGGGACTGTCTGTGAGGATGGCAGTAACACTCTTAAATCTACACAGCAGTTAGAAAGGCTCTCAATAGCTTACATAAAATAATCATTTAATCTCTCTGGCTCACTTTTCTTTTCCCCTCTGTAACATGGGGATACTGCTACTTCCTCTCTTACCTATTTAGATTGTAAACTTTGGTCAGGGACTGTCTCTTACTCAGTGTTTGTACAGCACAATGGGCTTTAATCTAGGTTGGGTAATAAAAATGAATATTCATCTGTCACCAAGATACAGCCACCTTGGTATACACAGCACCACCCAGCAGTTTGGGCCAGGAAGCAAAAAAAATTACTTCAAACAAGGAAAAGTAGGCAGAAGAGCCAGATTCTATGCTGCAGCCTTCAGGAGGCACAAACCAGGAGATGGAGGCAAAGGTGACTAAGTCACCTTTATGCCACCCATAACCTGATCTTGAGAGGCCAACTTGTTCCCCAGTGTAATTTAGAGTAGCTTACCCCAATTGCCAGCTGCTCTGAGGCACTGAAAAGATGAATGGTCAAGCACTCCATCCACACAACAGGAATGGCATAAAACCACATGCAGCAACTTTTCTGTCTGTAGAGCAGCATGAAGGGCACCTAATAGGGGACTGAATTGGTCCCAGAGTTTTCAGCAGGACCCTGGGGTTAAAAAACAAACACACAAATGTGCCAAGGAGCACATCTTTTTATTGTGTAATGCCTAGCAGAGAGGTCCAATCTCCATTTGGGCCTTTAGTTGCTACAGCAATATTATTAATACTTTTTTAATGGCTACAGCTAATCAGGGTCATAGTTGTATCGGTCATCTGAAAGCTGGCAGCAGACTATGCTTGTGCCCCAATTCAGTAATCCATCAGAAGGAAGAGCACCACCAGGACGCAGCTGGCGTTAGTTCTTCAAAGATTACTCCAAGACTGCCCAAGGAAGCGGTGACAAAAGCACTCCATTCTTTTACCTACTCTTGTTTTGAAAGCAGTGCCCAAGGTCAGCCAGACACCAGTCAAGATTCATTACCTGTGGCTTATGAGCAAGACATTTTTGCTCCATAAGAAAAAGTCAGCATCTCTCCTGCTTAGTACTTCGTAGAGTTCTGTTCCATCATCAGAGCTGTATATGGTGAGCCTGCTATTTGTGTTACGCTTTCAAAGTGTGAAAGGCACACTTCTGCAGTGCTGGCATATGTGAATAAAGCTTTAAGTGGCTCATGTTACAGAGCAGAATAGGTTGCTCTCTCTTACTGGTGTCTCAGCTTATTCCCTCAAGCCTGAGCTCCACCAGATGATGAGGTATCCTATCTTTTGGCTCAGGAATTCTTCATATTAATATGAATGCATTTGATGTGAGGCTCTCAGTAGTACAGACAGAAAGGTGTCAGGGCCCCATGCTCCCATCTCTAGAGAACAGGGGTAGGAATAATATAAGAGCAGGCTTGGTAAGGAGTCTGGTATTGGTATCTCTGAAACAAGTTAGTTACTGGAAATGCAAAATATCAAATCAAAAGTGGAATGTGTGCTGAGATTGTATCTAATAGGTGGTCTAACGTTTGCCAGTCAGTGAATGACAAACTGGTTACTAGTATAAGAATATCAGGGGGTAGCCGTATTAGTCTATATCCACAAAAACAACAAGGAGTCCGGTGTTACCTTAAAGACTAAGACTCTGAAGAAGTGGGTTTTTTACCCAGGAAAGCTTATGCCCAAATAAATCTGTTAGTCTTTAAGGTGCCACCAGACTCCTTGTTGTTTTAGTATAAGAATACTGCAGAGTATTTTGCTATCAGTTCGGTAGTGCCATTCTCCATCCTCCTCCTCCCCTTTCACTAGTGAACTAATGGAAAAAAGTTGCTTCCTAGAACTGTCAAGTCCCAAACAACTTCTGGTCATTTAAGATATCAAGGGACTTAAGACTAGGCTTGTTACCAGTGGTATCCTGGCCTAATTCCAACACTTCCTGTTTCAAATGGATGTTCTCCCTTCCATCCAAAATGTCGATGCAATAGAACAGCAGCAACTACACCTCATAACTGGCTATAGTTCAGGGGCAGGTGAAGTTAGGTATTTATTCAGAAAGCATAGTGGGGATGTTACACAATAAAATGATAAATGCAAGACTTCCTACTGAAAAAAAGTGTTTTGACAAAGGCCTATGCTATTGCTGCAGAGACAAGAGTAATCTATGGACTATTAGCCTAGTATTCCAAGAGATTTCTAATGTCACAAAGGGCAGCCGAGCCCAGAGTACTGGAGGCTCACCAAGGAGCTGAAAGCAAGACTCAGAAGATCACAGGGCAAGCCAAGAGAGGATTGTAGCAGACCGTAATTCCCTATCAAAATAGCTAGCATAGATGTTTGATTCCAACTCACTAGATTTTGCTAGCTATGAAACAGCTAGTTTCCAGTACATGTAATACCCAGTTTCACAGCAAATATAGTGTTTTTGGACACAGAGAAAAGAGCCCCTACTTTGTTTTCTTTAGCGATGAAGTAGCGGAGATTACAGGCCCATTTCAGCAGAAGTTTGTTGGAAATGTAGTGCTTGTTCCCTCTGTCCTTGCTAATGAACTTTTGTGCTCATGGAGTTATTAGCAGCGTAAGCCAATATCTTCTATTTATGCACAGGTCAGGTGCTAAGCTGTAGAGCCAGCAAACTTAAGATGAATCATGTTTTTCTATCAATGCTGTAACTTCACGGCCTAGAGATCCCGCTGAAGGAACAGAAGCTACGCTTTGCTCTACATCTTTACTTTGGAGGAGGCTGGATTTTGTCTAGTGAAGCCATGTATTAAATGAAGTTATGATGTAGAGAAACACTTGTCACCTATCTGACTAGCAGTAATGCCTGGTTACAGAAGGCTTAACAGGTGATTTTAAGTTGAGCCACTACTAGTCTTGCTAAAAGTAAGATGGAAAAGCAGGTAATTTGTTTAACAGAAACTCTATTTTCTCTGGCAATATAATTAGTAAAGATTAAGTCCCATCAAACAGATAATGCCATTTCTGCTGAAAGTTATCAAGCATTCTGCCTGATTAAAACTGTCCCTTTTCCCCACTTTTTTTGGTTTGTTTTTTTTAAAAAGAGTTAACCATATGGGTCAGATGAACACAGCAAGACTATTGATTATTGGATGATTTACACCTCTCAGGTTGTGAGGTAAGATTTTAGAGGCCTATTCTGATTACCTTCTTTCTTCCAGCTCTTTACATATACCTGACATATTTTAACTCAGCCTGGTAGAATAAAAGAGAATGCTTTATACCATTTGATAAATCTGGGATGCCACGTTGCTGTTTCGTGATTTAAAGCACTGGCTTCTACTGGTTTCCATACCAGCTGCTGCTAAAACGGTCAGAATCAAAAGTAAAAAAAATCCAGCTTGTGTGATGCAGATCTGAGGTTCACAATCCCCAGCTATAAACACTTTGGCAGACCAAACAAAAGGGTTTCATAGCCAGTAGACATTCCCCAAGCACTAGTCCTAAATGACCAGAAAAAAAGTTTCAATCCAAGTTAACCTGCTGTGGTAAAAGATTCACATTTTCAAGTGTTATGGAAGCAGGATGGGGTATAACTATTTCCTTGTGTGTGGTAATGCTTGAAGAGGGATGGCCTCCAGGCAGCTAGATACTAACTGATGCTTTCTTCACAGCTGGCAAAGCTAACAGGATGGGGACAAGCTCACACTGTAAATACCACTAACAGAGACCACCACAATTCCACATCATTTCCTGGTTTTATTTTGTCAAATACTGTTACAGACTTAGGGGACAAAGAAGTGAAACGTAAGACTACTAAAGATTAGTCTTCAAACATTGTATCCAATCAGGCTGCCTCTGCCTATGATCTCACCGATGTAAAACCACATCAGCACCTCTGTGGCCACCAAACCGTTCCTCAGAGCTTCCTGAAAGAAAGAAAGCCAGAATTTAGAATGTTTGCTATTGCAGTAACGTCTCCCTTTGCTTTAACCATGCACAAAGTTTGGTTGTGATGGCAAGAAAGCCACCCAAGTTAATGAGATAGCATTTTTAGCTAAAGCCAAGAATGCTATTAACAATTTACTCCCCCTCCCGCCCAAGCAATCATGGTACATACTAATGTGTACTCAAGTCTTAAGTACAGCTTAGCTTTCAGAGCCCTTCAGAGAGAATGCTTTAAAGCATAAATACTGAAAAGACCATCCAAGTCTTAGTGCCAAGCAATACACTAGACCTATGAAATAGCTGTTCAGTACTGGTGGGCAGATCTGGTACCTATTGACATTTGATTCACGTGAATGGATGTTGAAGAAAAGCCTGCTGCCAAAAGCACATCTATACTCTACTAGATGAAAAGCTGGTAATTAAAAATGCTATTCAACTCTTAACCTATAAGTTCTTCAAGTGTTTCACTCCTTAATGACAACAGCTCTATTGGTTTTCATGGCACAAGTAAAAGCTTTTTAAGCTAGCATGCCAGTGGTTCAATAAGTTCCTGGAAAATATTACCCTGTACACAAAATACCTGCAGCTCTTAAACTGCATCTGCTAGACTCTAGAGAAATATGCAGCAGAAGTGCGATGCTTCAGGATCATAAGATCAGACCTCTACTTTTTAGCTAATTCTGAAGCAAAGACGACCCATTTTTATTTTTAAAAGTTATTTTGAAGACTGACACCATATAAATGAACAAGGTTTTCAAAATGCTGAGGTAACTTCAGGAAGAGAGATTTAAATGTGAAGAGTTAAAGGGGCATGCATCAGAAGACCCGGACTAGTCAATTAAAGAACCAGATCTGCAGGTAATACGTTCAGAGAACTAGTCTTCATTTTGCACTCCCATTCCTAAGGGAAAGAAGTCTATTATTGAATTACTCTTTACAGATCAGGAAGGGGGTATACAAGTTGGAAAAAGGGCCTAGAAATTACTGGTTTGTTGGACCTTGCTTTACAATATAAATAATAAAAGTGCCTAGAGGCTAACCCCATTGTGCAATACAAGAACAAGGGGGCATTCAATGAAACTGAAAAGCAGCAAGTTCAAAACTGATTGAGATAGAGAGCTATTTACATCGATGACATGAATATTCAAATGTATAACAGATATTTGCAAGAGTTGAGAAGGGACTAAGGCGATCTCTAAAAATTAAGAGTTAGAAGGAAACTTTCCTTGGGACAGGTTATCACATAGCTACCCAACTCTAGGTTTTTTGCACCATCCTTTTAAGTATCTAGTACTTGTCACCATCAGTGACAGGATACTGGACTAGAAGAACTACTGGTCTGATCCAGCCTGTCAATGCCCACATTCCTATTAAGGATAGAATATTTTACCGGGAAAATGCATCTAAGAGCCTAAGCCAAAAGAGTTACAGCCCTTAGCACAGGGGATCTCAAACTGGGGGTCGGGACCCCTCAGGGGGTCATGAAGTTATTACATGGGGGATTGTGAGCTGTCAGCCTCCACCCCAAACCCCGCTTTGCTGCCAGCATTTATAACGGTGTTAAGTATATAAACAAGTGTTTTTAATTTAAAAGGAAAGTCACACTCAGAGGCTTGCTGTGTGAAAGGTGTCACCAGTACAGTAGTTTGGGAACCACTGCCTTGGCAGGAACAGAACACAGCCCCACTCCTCCTCATTGCACTGTAGAAGGTAGCAGTGTTTTAAAACTAGCCTTAAGCTTTTGGTTGTTATTGCAAAGGTCAAGCAGCAATTCCAAACTAGTCAATTATCCAATATCCCTTCATACCACACTACACACTGTGCTGGCTATGTTGATATTTCTATCAGAAGGGTGGCAGTGCATTCAGAAGTCCCTTCGACAGTAAGGCAGCGGCAGACACTAAGTGGAAAGATCAACATCTGGCCATACTAAAATGTGTATAAAAGCTCACTAGGGAAAAAGCCACCATAAGGCAGAAGTGATCTGTCCAGTCAAACTTCTTTTTTGTCACAGAATGAGCTCATTGAGAGCACAGGTTCGGCCTGGCTTTATCAACAACTTGTCTACCAAATTAACTGTTCTGTCCAAATAGCAAACACAAGTCACTTTCTGGGCTTCTTTTTATGTTGCTAGATGTAGCCCAGCTAAAAATGTGTTAACCAGCATGGCTGGAGAAACCCCAGGGGAAACACTTCTGTTATTCCGATCTGTTCTTATTTAGCCTGCAGTTACCTTGACTGTGAGCTGTGCGAGGTGACCAGACTGAAAGCTTTTGACCAGAGCTTTCATGCTGTCAATGGCCTTGGGGATCTCAGCAGGGGTTGGAGGAACCAGCTCAACCTTGGCATAGTGCCAAAATGTGGCCAAACGAGGCCTGGAGTAAGTCACAGCAGCTGGAAGAGAAAAATACCAGGATGAATCCACTGGAGGCTAAAAGAAACAGATGTGTGGGTTGGACACAAATATTTATTCATGCATCACATTCATTTACCACTTTCATCAAACATGCACCCAGTCTGAAGAGTCAGAGCTGCTCCTTGGTAATGAGCAGATATTTATTTAATTTTTAAAAACTCAGCTCTAAGCAACCCTCCAGTGCTCTAGCTGCCTATTCCATAAATAAATAACTCACAACATGAAGGACTGCCTATATACATACACACACACACCCCAAACCCTCAAACTAAGGGTATGTCTACACTACACTACCCAGAGTGGCAGGCAGCGATCGATCCAGCAGGGGTCGATTTATCGCGTCTAGACGCGATAAATCGACCCCCGAGCGTTTTCCTGTCGACTCCTGTACTCCACCACCGCGAGAGGCACAGGCGGAGTCGATGGGGGAATGGCAGCAGTCAACTCACCATGGTGAAGACACCACGGTAAGTCGATCTAAGTACATCGACTTCAGCTACGTTATTCACGTAGCTGAAGTTGCGTAACTTAGATCAATCCCCCCTCCCCCCTGCCCAATGTTGACCAGGCCTTAGAAAGGGGAAATAAGTGAATTTACCTGCATGCTCAGAAGGTTAACAGATCTGGACTCTGGCAGACCAGGTGTGGGATGGTGATTTCAAATATCAAAGACCCTTCACAGAACACCCTGTCAGCAGCTCCCTCATTTATATTGAGGAAGCTCCAGGTCAAGCACCTCTTCTGATCTCAACTGTGGCAGCACCTCACAAGGAGAGAGACAGTCTCACAAGTAACCAGGTCCCAAACCTTTTAAGGGTTTTTAGGTGAAAACAAACACCTGGCATCCCACTCCAAAGCTTACCGAAGCCAGGGGAGATTACTGGTCTAAAGTGCTCCTAACATCCAACTCCACTTAATCAGCCTGTATACAACATTAAAGTACAGAACATGTGTATCACAAGGAACTCAGCCATTCGAAGCCTGTATAAAAAGGTTTAAAATGTGATGACCCCAGGTCAGTACCTAGTTCTACCAGCTGGTTGTGAATTGTCAATTAGCTACAAATTTAAGTTGCCAGACAATGATTAGTATAGAAGATCAATATCAGCACTGTTCTTTGCCAGCAGAGTGTGTTATGGACTTTAATTAGTAAGAATCTTAGGCCTGGTCCCCACTAACCCCCCACTTCGGACTACAGTACGCAAATTCAGCTAAGTTAATAACGTAGCTGAATTCGAATACCTTAGTCCAAACTTACCGCGGGTCCAGATGCGGCAGGGAGGCTCCCCCGTCAATGCCGCGTACTCCTCTCGCCGAGCTGGAGTACCGGCGTCGACGGCGAGCACTTCCGGGATCGATTTATCGGGTCTAAACCAGACGCGATAAATCAATCCCAGAATATCGATTGCCTGCCACCGGACCCTCCGGTAAGTGTAGACGTACCCTAAGGAGACATTTTAGTTGCTCCTATTCTTAAGATGTCATGCCTCAATATTGGAAGCATGAATAATTAGATGTTAGAATTATACTAGTCAAACCATTTTAATAAGAACAGCCATATTATGTCAGACCAATGGTCCATCTGGCCCAGTATCCTGTCTCCTGATAGTAACTAATGCCAAGTGCTTCAGCAGGAATGAACAGAACAGGCGATCATCAAGTGATCCCTGTTGTCTACTCCTAGCTTCTGGCAATCAGAGGCTAGGGACACCCAGAGCATGAGGTTGCATCCCTGACCATCTTGGCTAATATCCATTGTGGGACTTGTTGAAATGCATTTTATTAAGCTTTTTCTAGTTAGGCAGTACAACTACCTCTCCCCAAAAGCTGCAGAAGTGGTAATGTGAAAACAGTGTTATTGTTTGAATCAATCAGAACTCCTGCAGCATTCTGCACTTAAGACAATATCCTTGCATAGGCTGAGAGCGTTTAATCACAAGAGTTTAACTACTGACAATTATGCTCTATATGGCGCAAAAGAATTAAATAGGTAAACTTGAAACTATGTGGCCTGCAAATTACATCTCTAATACAAGTCTCAGTGTGCACACACACACACACTCTACACTATTAGAATAATTAACACTGTGGTGGAAATTCTCCAGTTTCCATAATCACAGCTGAATGAAGTCTTTGCTCATGAAGGTAGATTCCATCTTTTGTTTTAGAATAAATGACCTTGAATTCAGCATAAGTTTGACAAAAAAAATCAATATTTTTTTAATTTACAAAAAGCATTCCTAGTTCACTTGGATGCTTGTACATCAATAATTCAAAGAGGGAAATCCACCCTCCAAATTAAACCCAGCATAAAGTGAAAGTCTCAGAAAAAGAGAGACACTCTGCACTGCACCCAAAAGATCAAAAATTCAGTCTATTAGACCAACTGAGAAAGTGAATTCCAAAGTCAAGGGCCCTTGCTCAAGTGAAAGCCTTTCCACCAAATCCCATGCTTTCCTCAACTGCCATGGTAGTTGTTTTGCAACATGATTTAGAGTATAGCTAAGGTCTTCAAACCTCAAAAGATGTTCAACCTAGGTCCTAGACTATATAGAGCCACTTATTTTAACCTCACAGAAGTAAAAAGTTTTATTAATGACTACCTCGTATTTAATACCCTTAATATTTCTTGGCCCTCAGTAGGTCATATCTTTTCTATTTTTGAGTCTTCAAGACATTTCATTTTGATGTTAGAGATATTCTCCCCAGCTGGACAGGCAGATTGCAGTATTTTTAAATGAAAACCTATTACAGAGTAGACCATATATTTCATATGGAAAAGAATCTCAGCTACTGTAGGCAAAGCTGCATTGTAATTACAAAGCTCTCACCAGTTGAGATATCTACAAGTGGAAAGAGCCAAAAGTACAAGATAAAGTGGATATCAAGACTAGCACAGAACAAAAAAAAAAAAAAAAAAAAAAAGGGAGGAGGAACAGGTAGAATTCTTAAGAGCGGATACAGCTTGTTAGCAAAAACAAAGCTTATATATTTGCTATTAGCAACTCACTATCCTGATTCCCTATTTCATAGATATCTGTCACATCCATTACGCTCACAGTCCACCACGTCCTGCACCACACAGCATTTCCCTTATCACTACATCCTAACTTCAAATATCGGAGCCCAAGTTAGTGCACCCTATCCATCTCAATCTTTGTCTTTAAAGATACAGGTGTAGGGGCAGGAGAAAAGCAGTTCTAATTTGGTTTTATACTGCTGCTCATCACCACAGCATCTGTGCACTTTACATGTAAAATTGGTAATAGCAAAATCCATCATAGACTCATTGGAATCTCTGGCATGTCCCCCTTTTGGGGGGGGGAGGGGGGAAATTCTGATTAAAATATATATATACATACACTATATATCAATTTTGTTAATTTACTGTTTTGGTTAAGATTGGTTTATTTCAGGTGGTTTGGGATTGGTTGGTTTCTTTTGGGTAGAAGGAAAATGTTGAGAGGATCCATCTCATGGTGGAAAGGCCTGATTTCTGAAAGCATTAAGCATTCGCTCCTCTCAGACTTCAGTGAGATTTACAGGTGCTCAGTATCTCTGGAAATATGGCTATTAAGCATCTTCCTGATCAATTGCCTCTAACCCCTTTCCCATTACAATTGGAATGCCTTGTTAGACATGGGCCTTACATTTAGGAGGCTGGTAATAAGCTCGCTTTTTCTCTCCACCATGTTTGTTTACTTGCCCGTGTGGTAAAGTATTGAACTGGAAAAGGATATATGGACTCTGCTGCATGACCTTTAGAAGTCACTTCATATCTGTACCTCAGTTTTCCCCATCACTAAAATAGGAAAAATACCTTCCTTTATAAAGCCCTCTGAGAAGTATTAATTTGAAGGGCAGTTGTGTTTCAAAAGGATGTTCCTTCATTACAAGGTAATTTCTCTAAGGTTATTCTTCCCCACCCCTTAGCATTTAGTAACTCTACTTACTGCAAACTCAGATTTCGTCATCAATGAAATCCTACAGAACCTTACAATAGCCAAGTTTGTTAGTTGTTTAGTTTCCCCTTTTCACTGACACTGAACAGTATGATACAGCCTCTAGCTAAGGGCTCACTTAAAAAGAAAGAAGCTCAGCTAAAAAGTAAGAGGCTACAAGATACAGAGAGTGAGTCACCTGGACAACGACAAAAATCTATTTCTTGCAACTGAAGAAAGTAAAATGAAGCAGAGGCCTAGAGCCTCAGACAACTGGACTAGATGGAACAATCCAGTGACAAAGGCCATTCAGCCAAGTCTTCCACGGAAACACCACCTGGTGATACACTCACCATCTCACACAGACAGCTTAGACGGGGGGTGAATTCTGTGAAGTCAAGGCCCCCATTTCCTGCCCAAAGGATAGTCAAGGTCCAGACTCCAGATAAAGCAACGAACAAGATAATAAGCACATAAGATGTCAGGGTCCGTTTGGAAGCAGCTGGCGGGTTGGGTGCGGCCCGTGGCCCGGGCCAGCTACTGACCACCCCGAGTTGGACCGTTACCGACGTAGGGAATCGATGCCCCCCCGGGCCCCAGCGCTGGGGGCGGAGGCCACAGTCACACTGGCTCACTGGGGGCGCGAGCGGTCCCGGTGCTGGCCAGGCCCCGCTCTGGACCTGGGGCGGGCGAGTCGGGCACGGCCCGCAGCTCCGCCAGCAAGCGCGAGGCGAGGCGAGGCGAGGCGAGGCGAGGCGCTGCCCTGACCCCCCCCCCCCACGCACGGCCCGCGCCGCTCGCGGCTCCCCGGGGCAGGGCCGGGCCGGAGCCCGAGAGCCGGTCCCGGGCCGGGCCGCGCCGCCCCCAGGAGCCCCGCTCAGTACCCCCCGCCCGCTCTCACCGCTCACGAGTTGCGGGCCCTGGGTGGCGACGCGCTGGACCAGCCTCTGGGCGGCCTGGGCCATGGCGGAACCGGCGCGGGGCAGCTGCAGCGCCTGAGGAAGAGGAAAGAGCCGGAGCCTGAATGTCACCTACAGCAGGACCCCGAAGGCCCCCGGCGTCAGGGCTGCCCCGGTAGCGCCTCACACCGCCGCCGCTCGCCACACCCCCAGACGGCCCGGGCGCACGCCCAGCCCTGCGGGAAGGGGCGGGGGGCATTTTTTTCCCCGTTCAGAGGCAACATTTTGATCAGGCGCCTGCCGAAGACACCTATCGGCCATGAACGGCTGCTCACGCGCAACGCCAAGCTGGTCTCGAGGGAGCCAAAGCGGCGCACGCGCAGAAGCCTCCTGTGGCCGGTTCCTGCCCCTGCCCACGTGCTATTTAACTTTTTTTTTTATTTCTCTGTAGTCTGGATCTTGACCAAGAAATTTGGCCCTTGACAAAAAAAAGTAACTGGCTACCCCTGGCCTATGGGATATGATTTGTGTGCAGGTCAGCAAAGCCTAAACCTATTGGAAGAAAACCCTCTGCCTCGTGCACTGCCAAAAATGCCACTTCTACAAAATTGCTTGTTGGGTTACAGCTTTGGGATTAGAGTCTCCTACCAAGGCAGCCTCCAAAACACTTGAATAATTTAAGATTAAGTCCTCCCACTTTAATGATTTAACACTCTCAGACTCCCCAGTTTCTTCCCATTTGTGTTCTCAGTGGCTCTAAGGCATTTGTAATGAACCTATATCACTGCCATAGCTAGGTAAACACTACACCATGTTTTGTTTTAGGAGAGAAAAATTATAGTAAGTCTCAGTGACCATCTTGGTGAAGTCCTCTGAACTAGAGCACTGTTGCTGGGTTGGAGCTAGCCGCCACAAAAATCACGTTTCTTATTTTTCTGCCTTGTGCCTGATGCTCTGGATAGTTGTCCCTGTAGTACTCCCTTCCTCCGAGCACAAAACCCCCTCTTCCTACAAGCTGAATAGTAAGCCTCCCCCATGCATAAGTATAACTAACCAACACACACCTGCCCCTCAAGAATAAAATATATATATTAAACTATTTATTTAGGCTCAAATTCTGGTACTTCTAGGTTTGCATGAGTGCACATACATATGACCCTCAGGGAAGAAGCCTTATGTTTTAAGGTCTTATCGAGTAGACTCATTTTAACAGATTCTTTAAGGTAACCTGCACAGTAAACCCAAGCTTCACTCTTAGTTTTCATTATAAAAATGTCAGCTGTTTCTGCACTTCTTGTTGCAGACACGTCCCCAGTAGAAGGGTATGGTTATGAAAAATCAGCTTAATAGTTGTATACAACAACAGAGATAAAGTGTCACTTGAGAGGAGTTATACCTGCCCCAGATCTCCCATTCAGAACAAGTTCACCTTAAGACCAAATATGCACTTCAAAGAAACTTGAAGCCTGACATTTTTATTGATAAAGCATGTGTCTAAGTATATATACATACTGGATACATATTAACATGCACAAAGTACAGTATAAATGTAGGCAGGATTTATAGTGTACCTGTATGAATATGTACACAGTCTATACACAGACAGTGCCGTTTCCAACAGGCTCTCAAACCTAGCAGATGATCATGACTAATTAAGGTTAATTTAAATGATGTGGAGACTCAAGGAACCCCAATTAGAGAAGAGTTTGTCCTGTGTGTCTGGATATGTCGAGTTTCTGCATGGTTGCCCCTTGAGTAAAACAGCAGGTATTGACCCCGACAGCCAAGTGAGAGACTTTTCTAAAACCAGTAGCATGTTTTTCCAGCATGACCTCCCTAGTCCCAGTGAGAGTTTTGTTATAGCAACGGCTAAATAGTCCAACTATCTCTAAGAGATTCACATCCAACTTTTATATTATCTTTTAAATGTTTTGAGTTCAGTGCTGCCCCATTGCAATGTACCATGCTGAACACGAACCCTTGTACACAACCAATATTTACAGACAAAATTGCATAAGAACCTCTTCCATCCTCGCAAGCCTCAAATTTAAGAGCTACTGTGGACAAAGGCATTTTTTTTCACATTAAACATCATATGATAGAACATTACATAGTTTAAACAAGTCTGGAGCCAAAGCAGGAGTAACAGAGAGGAAACTTCAGTCACAAGGAAGAGTTTTTTGGTGGTGGCTGACAGCCACTGAGATGTGTGACATGACAGTCATTAGAAACAGTGAACACTGTGAAGAACAAACAACACAAGAAAATTAACCAGTGGCCAACAGAGCAAGAAGGGACTTAGGATTCCTGGGCTGAGAAGCTGTAGTGCAGTTGAGGTTTCTGATATTATTGAGACGTCTTAATGGAAACAAAAAATAGAAGGGGATAAAAGGAAGGGCCTAAGCAAGAGGCTCCAAGTCTAGTGGCAATGCACAAAATGCAATCTTGGGTATAGAGTATATGGTAGCGCTGATTCACAGGTTCTCTGGAGCACCAGCCATCATCTCTGCAAGGGGATTTCGCTCTCTTGCAGACAAATTATTGTTCATTTGTGTCAGGATGTTTTTTCATTTGTTCATTTCAGTGTGTCCTCCAGCTGCTCCTTCTGCTTTTTCCTCTCTGCAAGCCACTGCTGGATCTTCTCTTTCAGTTCTATGTTTGGTCTGATCTGGTCCATAGTGAGGGGGCTCCGATTAAAAGGATCTGTCTGGTCACTATAAGAAAGAGAAAGTCAAGGAAACTCATTCTCTGACAGTACTGTCCTATGATTAAAAATTGATGTTATGAAGCCAAGAAACAGGGAGCAGAGACAGGCACAGCCTCTGTTCCATCAAGTGAATCAGACCTGCCTGTGGACAATGAGCCACTAGGTGTAATCATTAGGCTTCACCCAAACATCCCCCAGAAGACTGACACTTCCAAAATGACACCATCACTTGCATCATTCTCAGTGGTACATCTGAGGCTAAAATTTCAAGGAAAGCAGAACAGGTTCACAATAAGCTTCAGTACCAGAGTATACAACAGTACTTTAGAGAGAACTTAAGCCACAACCCAGATCAGTTAGCAAACCTCTGACTCTTAACACATAGAAGATGATTACTTAGAGACAGACTGAAATATGCTACTATTTGGATGAAAAAAGCAATCTCCTATACTCATGCTTTATTGGAAGACATTTCTGGATTTTATCTGTACTCACTAAACCGTCCAACCTATCCATTGACTTTTGAATAAACCAGGGTGAAGAAACACCTGCAGTTTTCCCAATGTTGAAATCACCTTTAAATAAAAGAAAAAGTCTTAATCTCCCCACCCCACCCCTTCAATCTGTAGGCCTGAGCACCTCTCATATGCTTTATTCCATTAAAAACACGAGAAACAATCTGGTCTGTGCAAATCTGGACATGGATGCAACTTCTAAGTTTCAGAAAGCTGAATTCCACAGGGTCCAGGGCACACAAACTGCACACAGCTAGATAAATGGTTAGCACTTTAGAGAGTCAGATGGATTACAGTCAGTTCCAAATATAACAAAACTAAGATCCTAAACTCTGGAGCAACTGTGGGGAATTTGGAAAGGAGAATGACTGTATGCATGCATGGGGATGTCCACTCTGTCTTGCCTGAATCTCTGAAAGCAAAAACACTAACCCAGGGGTCGGCAATCTTTCAGAAGTGGTGTGTCGAGTCTTCATTTATTCACTCTAATTTAAGATTGCGCGTGCCAGTAATACATTTTAATGTTTTTAGAAGATCTTTCTATAAGTCTATAATATATAACTAAACTATTGTTGTAAGTAAAGTAAATAAGGTTTTTAAAATGTTTAAGATGCTTCATTTAAAATTAAATTAAAATGCAGAGTCCCCCGGACCAGTGGCCAGGACCCGGGCAGTGTGAGTGCCACTGAAAATCAGCTCGCATGCCGCCTTCGGCACACGTGCCATAGGTTGCCTACCCCTGCACTAACCCCTCCCCACCAAACCTTTAGTGAATCACTAACTCCTCACTCAGACACAATTAACTTTTCTTGAATACCTGAGGAGATGCCTGGCTATAGTTGACCTATCCACGGTGACTCGGGAAGATGGCAGCATCACAGGGTCAGACATTAAAGTGCTCATGATAGGATCAAGGAATTCATCACATGCATCTGCATAGGTCTCCTCTTCCTGCTGCTGTCGGTCTGCAAGAGACTGGTAGATACATGCACAACTATTAACACTAGGTTTTGTGAAGCTCTGTCAAGCAGCTCAAGTTCGCACATTCACAAAGGGGTGGAGCCTAGCAATGCAGAAAGTCAGGCACTTCTCACTCGCAAAGTACCTGGCAGAATGTGTCCATGCACATAACTGGATGCTCTACCAAACCTTTTGGTTTGTAACCAGAGCTCAGATATCAGCATGGCTAAGAAACTGCAGGAACCCAGAAAACACATCACAGCTATGGCATGCAAATAAACACTGGGCACACAGCTTTGTTTCTGCAAACTCTTGAAGTCTAATAGTTCTTTAATTTGCATAGTTACAGTTGTTAAAGTATCATCAGAATGTAAATCAGTTCCTGGTTTCAGTTTCAGACACAGCAAAAGCATCAAAAATATAATTATCTATTGGAAGACAGGAATTGCCAGCCTTCCCTTGGCTGGACAGAAACCTCTTAGGGCAAAATTGGGGGTGGAAGCTTTTAGGAGGAGCATAGCTATCGCTACTGACCCACATCATGGTTGGAAGAGCATGGCTATCACTACTGAGCAGCATCATGGTTGTAACTTTCCATCAAAACCTGCACTGAAGCGGAGACTGACTATCTCTGAGGGGGTTTCCAGAAGCTGTTACAGCATACTGTCTTGTCTAGGTAGACTAACCTCTTTGCATCAGGGATCATCTTTTATTGGTTTGTAAAACACCATGCATGTTTACAAAGCTACGTACACATATTACAAGCAGGGATGGTATTTTTAACCTATTGTTCAAGTTGCCCAACACTTCACATAGTAAGACACTGTTTTCATTGCTTATAACTTTGCCAATCTTGAACTGTTTGGGCTGAAATTTTACATGGCAGGTGTCTGCCTCAGGCTTAATTTATTTTGGAGAATTTCAGCCATCTCCAAGAATGAAGCTATGAAAATAAGTTGTTATGCCCATGTTAAAATATTCTGGCAAACTTTTCTTTTAAAAGCTCAAGCACTACCACACTTTGGAGAGGGGACTTGAAATTTGGCAAGAGGCTGGCCTGTGTATCAGGGAGGTGCCTTTTGCCATCCTTGTGAGAATCTGCTCACATTTGGTCTTGGGAAAAAATTGCAGTTTACGTATGCTCATTAGAGACTTCTTAGATATTAGCAACTAAATTCCCAGAAGATTCTGTCTGCATTGGGCGTGCTACAGCCTGGGTCTGAGCAGGAATTTACTCAAAACGGCGGCTCTAGGCTGCTGTGGGCTGTGCAAAGTTTGGGCATGGGAAGGAAGAGGAGAGAGTCTCTCTCTCCTGTGCACACAGGGTACACTGCACAGAAATAAAAGACCCACAGCATGGATGGCCCGGGTCAGCTGGCTCTGGCTCTGGGGCTAAAAATTGCTGTGTAGACGTTGAGGCTCAGGCAGGAGCCCAAGCTTTGGGACCCTCCTGCTCACCGGGTCCCAGAACCCGGGCTCCAGCCCAAGCCCAAATGTCTGCACAATGATTTTTCAGCTCTGCGAGCCTAAGTCAGCTGACCCCAGCCAGACGTGCGCCTTTTATCCCTGTGTAGACATAGCCTCAGTGACCCTGCTGCTGCTGTCCAGGCCGTGAGCAAGAGGAAGCTGCCTAGTCTGAATGCAAAGGGGGACGAGAGATAGACCCTGTAGAGGTGGGGGAAGCAGACTGACACAAGGAGGATGGGGAGACAGACTGGAGGGGAGAGGGAAGCTGGGAGTCAGGGTGTGGGAGGAGACAAGGACTGGCTACCAATGGATGGGGAAACAGGAGATAAATCTGACAAGAAGCCAGGGTGCACGGGGGTGGGGAGAAGTGGGACTGCCAGGGCAAAGAAACTGCGAAATGGAGTCCCAGGACAGAACGACACTGTGAATGGACGAGGAGCCCAGGGAGGTATACTGGGACTGGGAGCCAGAGTGAGACTGAAGAACGTGAGTGGGTGTTGGGGGGAATCACAATTGAAGACAAGGGGAGAAGGAGAGAGATAAATCAGATAAGGAGCTGAGGGGCACATTCAAGAACTTTCATAGTAAAATATGAATAGAGAACTCTGCTTAGAGGGACCATCGATAAATGGATGAAATCACCAACACTGTCCTCCTCCCCTCTTACTCCTCTCACCTTGATCCGCTCAGCCAGGTTACTGAAAGCCACTATCATGTTGCCAGGCTTATTGATTTTCTTTAGGACTCTGACTGTCTGAGCGAACAGTGTCGGCGAATAGGAGCGCCCATCCTTGGGCACCGTGGCACAGAAATTCTCTTCATCGCTGAACCACAATTGCAAAAAGAAAGAGAATGTAAGCGTTGACATTTGTGAAAAAAGGAGTGATTTGCTAGGCTGCAGAGACATCGACCCGCACAACAGCTGAATTACTTCAGTAAACATATACAGGAGAGGACAAAGTGAAAGAATAATAACCATAACAGCTAAGTCGTTTCCTCTAGCCGGTCTCCACACTGGGATAGGCTTTACACTAGCTACAACCATATTTAAAAACTCTGCTACTGCTGTCAGGGTTGTAGGTGTTTTCTCTTGCTAGTGTGGATGGTTTGGGGGTGGGGTGGGGATGTTTTAAAACGCTATTATAAAATGTGTTATATCCTACCAGGGACAAGGAGCCAGTGTATAGCATAGGTTGGCTACCATGATTTTCAAAAAAAGACAAAAATGAATCAATCAATCAATACATCACAACATACAAAACCACCACACGACACACTGGCCAGGGGATTGTGAGAGAACTCTGCTAGACACCACCATGTTTAAACACAATCACAGCTAGTAGAGTTCAGCTCCCAGTGTAAACAGAACTACATATATCACATGAAATGGCATTATACTGGCCAGATTTCCTAGAGAAAAGTCTGCTATACTTAATAGATAGACTCTCCATTATTCGGAGTCCCTCTTTAAAGTCTTAAACATTTATTTGCTCAGATGAGGGGTGGTGGTTTAAAAACAAGTTTTAGAACTCAAAATAATTTCTGGTTGGATTTATGCTGACTGCAGTCAACTCAGGAGAGAATTTGGTCCTCAGCAGCATCCCGCTAATGGAATTACCAAGATAAATACCCAGAAATATTTTTTCTGTCCCACCCCAGCAACATGAATCCATTGTGTAGTGGGGTCCTATTTCTCCAGGACTGCTGCCCCGCTGCAGCTTCTCACACCCTCACATACCCAAGGTTTAAGTAGATGTTGCAGATGTCAGAAACGAGCTGCTGAGGTTTGAAGTCAAACTCGCTGAAATCCTTGACTTTTAATGCTCCCATTTTAGGACCAACCAGGTGCTGCAGGAAGTAGTTCAGCATGGAGATGATGCGCTCAGCAAGGAAAGGGTGCACAAACAGGGACTTAATCTCTGGAATAAAAGACAACAGCTCTCTGAGCATCAAAATAAATCAACCTTTCTGCACCAACCCCTTAAACCAGGCAAAGCTCTCCCCACCACTGCCACTCTCTCAGGATTTGCTGTCCGTACCCGAGGTCAGAAAGGCCAGGGTTCCGATGGTTTCATTGGACATGATGTTGTGGAAGCGAGCCAGCTGACCAAACATTTGCAGACTGGACTCCTTCTCCCGACGAGCCTCCTGGGACAGGTTGTCCCACTCACCACGGTCCTTCTCTATCTGCTGAACTTTTATTTTACTGAGGTACTGTAAAGATAAAGCAGAGGAAGTGAGCAATGGTCTACTTAGTAAACCTGGCAAGCTCAGAATGCTTTCATCGCCTCTCAGATGGGAAATCATTCCATGAGTTCAGTATGTCTCGGGAAGTCTCTTAGACGGCAGATGTGCACATCAGAGAAACATCACTACAAAATTAGCAACCCCAGGAAAGAGGGCCTGGGTTGAATTGGACCACAGAGGCACTCCTCTCTTCCCTTGAGGGTAGGTTGAAGCCCCTTGACAGAGCAGTTTTGGGGAAGCCTTAACTGCTGCTGCCTGTGATCAATGTCGCTTGTAGATAAACAGAGAATTTAAGTCTAAGTACTTTCAATTGGGTATTTGTCACCAGCACCAATTACACAAATAAACCAAAACCAAGAAAGGAAATCAATTAACCCAGAGTATCAGTTGAAGTTCTGGGTGCCAGGCACAACAGAACCCAATTTACAGACTGGACCTCTCCTCTGCCATGTCAGCACAAGTTCTCACGAGCTTCCTATTACCAGCAGAAGCGCTGACTGATAGATTCCAAAAAGAGTTTAGTTCACTGCGGCTGAACAAGAGATCAGCAACAATTACATAGGGCCTCAAAAAGGATCAGGGAAACTAGGAGAGAAAAACTGGTAGGTGGGCGGAGAAGGATTGAGTAAAGGGTGAAGCAGATTAATCAAGGATTTCATTTCTTGGGGTTAAGTAAGATTCAGCCATAACATGGAAGTAACTTTTAAGTTTCTTTGCAGCTGTGGATCTCTTTGTATTCCCGGTGATGTAGTGAACCTCACACAGCAGAGTTCCAGGTCACAGTAAGTCCCACAGCGAGCCAACTCTGTCAATGACAGGAGCTCTTCTCTCGGAGTTTACACAAGGCTCCCGCGGCCACATAGGTTTAACAAACAAACACAGAACATTCACTTAAACCACAAGCAACATTAGGAAGAACCTATAAACCTTCAAGCAGGTAGGTTACATCTATGCTGCCTGGCTCATCTGCTAGTCCCCAGGCCCACACTTCCACCATGGGACATACAGCTGAGCTCTCCAAACAAAGGGCCCTTTTTATAGTAGCAAGAAGCAGCTCCAAAAGATGTGGTTAGAAAATAATCACACGCTGGGGACAAAGAAGTTCATCTGGGTCTGATGCCTTGTAAGCCCAAAGGACAAGGCTGTCTTGAGACAGCAGCATCTGTTAAGATAACAAGACATTTGCAAAGGAGGCCAGAGGGATTTGGTAATCACAAACCGCAAGAAGACTCACATGAGCCAGTTATAGCTCAGATAAGCAACAGGTAGACTTCCTCACGACTGTGCCAATGTACTTCAGTGCTGACCTGAAAAACCTTCTTTTGTTTTGGCTTCCTCCCTCCCTCCAGCCACACCAACCCAATACTGATCTTGGTCTGCAAGAGCCCTGGGGTTCTAGTCCCAGGTCCCAACACAGTTCTGCCAATGTCCTTCAATCATGCCCTCCAGCACCTCTCAGTACTCCACCTCTTGGTTTCCCCTGAGCAGACTATCAATCTAGCTGAACTCTGCCAAACTGCTTGAAAAGCATCTGATGTAGACACACATCACTAGGAGCTAGGATAAGCCTAATTTCACTTGTGATATAGGTCTGGTATTTTAATCAGCCATCTCAAATACAGGAGCTGTGCCTGCTTCTGGTGCCACAGCTAGAGCGCCTTCCAAGCCCTACCTGTATGGCTTCATCCAACAGGAAAATGGCATCGTTCATGAGCAAGTTAAGGAAGCGTAGGAAGAGAGGAGGGTTCATTGCCTCTAGGTTTTCCGAGGCATAATCAGCCAGACCCTATGAGTCACACACAGAAATGATGAGTTAATGCTCCACCACAGTTCAAACTTAAGGACACATAACTCAACACTTAATACAGCATTGTACAAACCAAACAAACTACTGACGTGCTTATCTTAGGTTACCTTTATACTTTGCCGGTATGAATCTGTCCCCCACATGTACCTGAGAATGGGATACATGGGTCGACGATAGTTAAACTTCTGCTCAAACTGATGTGGATCCCCTAAATAAAAGCAAAAGGGAGAGGAAGTTTCAATTCAGCAGCAAGAATCGGCACTGTATTTTTAACCTCTCCACAGTTCACACTTAGCATCAGGCCAGGGGAGAGCGACACTTGCTCACTTCCTTGAGAAAACTCAAAAGCTGACTTCCCAATGCACCCTGCTCAGCAAGGAATAACTTTCACAGCAGGTTCCTGAAACACAGCCAAAGTCAGGAAGCAAGAGCCAATTAAACGCTACTTTCAAATATAAACTTGCCATTGTCACTGGACTCATTGTTGCATGATCTTTTCTTGCTATGCCGCTCCAATATTGTATAAGCTTCACAGAGCCCAGGGACTTTATTTTATACAGACTTTACATGCACTTGGAGAGTTTTACCCAACTAAGGCAACTGGTCTGGCTCAGTCTGAGGAAGATGACAGGACTCTGACATCCGAGAGGTTCCTGTTCTATTTTAAAGGAGTTGTTAAAGTTAACCGGGGAGATAACTGTCCTGATTTTGAGGCCTCTTTACCACAAAGAAACAGGAAAGAGGCCAACGCTAGTGCCTTCGAAAGTAAGAGAGACTTTTAAAAAGTGACTGGTACATCGATGCTTTTGCTCCATTTTCCCTTGGAATAAGCATCCCAGTTAATAACAGTATCTTGGGAGTTCACTGTGTTTGTGTTGTTGAAACCACTTCCCTGGCAGTGGTTTGCAATAGCACAAGTGCTGACTGTCAGCTCACAGGAAGCAACCAAGTTGAAGCACACAGCATCAACCACCCCCCATCAGACAAAGGGCTCAATCCTGTTCCGATGGACGTCAGTAGCAAGGCTATCACCGACTTCAGTGGGAGCTGGATTAACCACTCAGCATGTAAGGCAAGCAGTGCTGATTCAGTCTACTGAGCTGCTGGATACCTCTTAGGGATGAGGACCCTGAATAAACGAGCACAATGTCAGGATATAAAATTAGTGTGCAAGGGCGAGTCGAATGCAGAGTTCCAGGTCCAGGAAGCAGGGGCCAGAAATGCTGTGGAGACAACATACTTAGACTCTGGTTGTGAGAGGAGAGGGGAGCACCTCTCCCTCTCGGACTGAGGTGATCAAGAGGGAGAAGAGAATCCTGGCTAGGATGGTGGCTGGGATGTAGGGTGGTAAGAATACAGATGTGTCTGGAGGAGTCTCTGAGAAAAGCGATCTATGGAAGGTCTGTGAGTGTGGCAATGTGCTCATTTCCCCCTCAGCTGGGCAGGCTCATGCTGAAATCAATGTGAGTTTTGCTGTCTTCAATGGGAGCAGGATGGAACCCCTAATGGGCATGGCTAGAGAAGTGCGTTAATAGACCTGATTAGACCGTGAAATGTAGCTTTCCAGAGCATCTATTTTCCTGATATGTTGCAGTTTTGCATGCATCAGCAATTCAAAATAGCTGCATGTTTGCTAAAGTGCCATCTGTCTAATATGGTCTAATGGATTTGACCAAGCCTGAATAGATTAGGTTTGCTGCACCACTGTCAATAGAACAAGGTATGTCACAGCATGCAGACATCCTCCCACAGATTCTTCTCAGGGTAAGAGATAAAATCCCTCCCCTTCCCTGTTTACCTGTAAACTCAATATCCACAAAGACCTTGATGAGTGCCTCTGCAAGATGGGCAGCGTGGTGGTAGGAGCAGAACACTCGCTCGCGATGGAACATGCTGGAGACAAGCGGGTTCTGGACCTGATCTAAGTGAGGCATCACTGCTTCCAACACTTCTGCCAGCTTGGCTCGCAGGTGAGGATTCTTCATCCTGGAAAAGAAAAACCGATATAATAGGGCAGTTTAGAGCAAAAGGGGAATTTGACTGACCAAAGAGAATCCCAAAGATTGAGGCCATCCACATGGGGAAGGGCTGGCTAACACCACTACACTTGTGCAGCCAAACTTCTGACATAATCTGACCTACCACTTGCATTCCTAACAGCATGCCATGGTTGTTCTCAGTCACTAGTGGTTAAACCTCGGACAGAAGGGTTACAAAGGGAGTGAAGGTTGAAGCTTTTGGCCACATCCCTCCTAGAACACACTCTCGGTGATGCATATTACTGCACATTGTGCTTGCTCATCAGTTGTGATTCTTCTGCCCTAGCCCAAATGTGTTTTGGTGGCAAACATTCTGTTATATCAGCTATGTGCTGAACCTGTCTAATGCCTCTGTCTCCAACTTATAGAACAGCAGAAGTATTTTGAACTTACAGAATGCTCTTACTAATATATCTGAGAGCATTCAGCAACGGTTGGGTAAGCATTATTGTCCCCATTATATAGGTGGGACACAGGGGTTTAGTGACCTGTCCAAAACTGCAGAGTCAGTGAAAGAAGTGGGAACAGATCCCGGTTCTCCCAACTCCCATGCTGGGCAGTTGCAAATAGCACCCCAGGGAGAAGATGGAGTTTACCTGCTCCTGTTGTTGCCATGAATATAATTATGCACACACAAATATTAACAAATGAATAGCATGAACACAGTGTACACAATGATATCTTACCACAAGGATCAATAACTCTGGTCATAATTTTGTTCAGTGCTTAGGCAACAAGCACCGAGGCAACAGATGTTTCAGAAACAACTAAAATAGACCAATCTAGACAACCCCTATTTTGATCATTAGCAAAACATCCAATTGCAGAAAGCAGGAAATTTCCCAAATCAGTCATGAACAAAGCAAAATCTCCATTTTTCAAAGACAGCACAAGTTCTACTGGGTGCGTGGGGCCTGGTTTTCAAAGGTGCTGAGCACTTGCAGCTCCCAGTGACTTCACTTGGAATTGCAAGCGCTCATTTCTGAACATCTGTCCCCTAGCGCCACAGCTGGTCACTAAGGTTAAAACTCTCTCTAACTGGCCCAGCCCTTAGTTGTAATGTTCTTTACCTGCAGCTGAACAGCAACAAAAAGGTGCAAAATTATTTCCTGCCTTTGGAAATAAAAATCTGGTTTGAAATTTCTTTCAGTCTGACCCTTACAATCAAAAGCCCCAGTGATCAGCATAAAGGAGGGACAAACGCGTTAGCACCAATGGATTCTGGAAAGCAATTTTTGATTCCTAGCCAAGCAATCACAAGCGGTGCTCACCAAGGCCAAGTTCCGCTGTACACACACAATACCTATTTGTTTCCTTGTTTGAGGCATCACAGTAGTAGTAGAACAATAAAAGGAAGTATTTTTCAGGTGCTTTTCAGATAGATGGAGATGTGCTGACCTCATCTGTTACATGTAAACACACTATTGTACACATACTCACTTGCTTCTGCAGCAGTGATAAACCAGACTACCCGTCCTGATGCCCCAGCACTCTAACCTACAACTATAAATGCTGTGAAAATTCCTTTCTTTTTTTGACACGAATATAAAACACCTGATTGTGAAAACAATTTTGGGAGACGCACTTCAGCTTCCTCCTTCAGGGACGTATGGGGGAGACCGGGGAACAACATTTAATGGAAGTGCAAGTGTCAGGCATTCCATCGTGACTCCAAGTTCACTAACAACCAGTTGTAACTAGATAGACTCCCAACATTACAGTTAATTTGGCTTTAACAAGGAACTAAATGCTGAACTCCCATTTGTGCCTTACATGAAGCCCAAGTGCTTTGGGGTAAAGTTCTTTGCTTATTATGCCTCTCATGGGTAAAATTCTTGGCTATCGCTCCGGGAGATCAGCTGAGTCATTAACGTTTACATCAAACCTCAAGATACCCCTTATGATTTTTACTTGTTTGTTTCTCTCTCTGGATGCTTTGCAGTAAATGTAAAAGGACAAAGGGCTGGAAACTTATCTACCTCTCTACATCACCCGTGAAAACAGTAACAAAGTGAAAGACATGCTCCAGAGAGTCTGCAGAAGTCTCCAAGATGTCATCAGCAAAACGCCGCAGGAAAATGAAGAAATCACCCAAATTATCAGCAAAGAATTCTGTGAACAAAAGTCATAAGTATTAGTGTCTCCTCAGGAAGTTCCTTCAGGCACTCTTTTCTATCCTTCCCTTTATGTTTCCCCCCCCAGTGCTTCTAATGGTGATTAAAATTAACATGGTTGTTTAATGCCAATGAACAAATGAAGCAATTATTGAGGATGCCAGCACAGCCTGTAAAAACTGTATCTCTAGACCCAACAGGAACATCTTGTATTTACAAAAAAAAAAAAAACAATTCTAAAGGATCCCCAAACTGATACAATTTACTGTATACGGAGATCATTTCACCCCCACCATGGAGACAAGTCACCTTTGGGGTGAAACTTGGTAGCTGTTTAGCAGTACATAACTGTAAACCACAGCTGAAGGATCCATATCCAATTGAAACTGCAGGGGAAATGTTAGATGAGTAAATTCTGCCTAAATTGGAATCTGGCAAGACATTGGGATTGGACACTTCAGCTCGTACAGAAAGTGCCTGATACTTTTAAAAGGGGCCAGGACCTTAGTTTGTCTCATCTGAAAGACAGCACTTCCACCAGTACAGTGACCCGTCAACAAACAGGGGTGTTGGTTCAGTTCTGACACAGAACAGCGCTATCTATTGGATCACCAACATCACATCACTTCCTGGAAAATTCAGAATTTCCATGGACAATTCTCATGCCAGCACACATCCAGCCCAAACCTGGCTTAGCTTGCACAATCTGTTTAGAATCACAAGTTTAAGCTCTCAGTCATTTCTATGATGCTCATCACTTTGTCATCTGCACTCTTGAAATTTTGGAGCAGAACTTCACATTGTTTCTGTACAGGGCCTACAGCCCTGATTTTGCAAGGTGTTGAGTTCCTGCAAAATGCAGGCGCTCAGCACCTCCGAAAGAGTCAGACCATATACTGTATACATAATGCAAACTGAAAAGGATACTAAAGTAATTTTAAGGTGAGAAGTTGCTTGGCCCCCTCCCTTTAAAGGTGTGTTTGTCTTAATGAAAAGCAGTGATCTTGAGTGATCTCATTCACCTGGTACGTAAGCCAGTGCACTGTGCTCCACGACTGGCAAAGGGAATGTCAGGTCTATAGGCTCAGTCCCTTGGTTTCCTATAGCCAGCTGGACCAGGAGAACTGCCATGGACACCTGCAAATTCAGGCAGTTCTGTAGCATCTGTGGCTCAGTCACTGATGTTTTGGTGGAGAGATAGACAGTCATCAGGCGTTCAAACTGCTCCCGCAGACTGTCTGTTGCAGGGCTGGAACTTTGTTGAGCCTCTCGCCAGGCTACTTGCAGCCGGTGAAGGCTTTGGTTTATTTTTACCATCTGATCATGCAACCTGCCCACAAAACAAAAATGAGAATACCAGAGACTAGATGAAAAGAGATTGAATACAGATTGCCCACATAACTCATAAATGTGCACCTACTTGTACCCTGCCTGTGTAATACCGAGCGGTGTTGTGCAGCTGGCAGAAGCAGCTGAGAGGGCAGAAAAAAGCAGGGCACAGTCAGTACCAGCTTTAGAAACTGCTCCGTTCCATCTGAATAAGCAGAAAGGATGTAACCGAGTGAGCGTTATTTTAATCCACTGTCCTCAAATTATCCCCCATGAATAATACTGTCTGATGGTCTGCCAAATGGAATACTGTCGGAATCAGACAGTGAGCGATTGGGAGAGTGCAGTTCCAGAAAAGGAGCTCTCTTACAAACTGGTCTGCAGAATGAAAAATCTGGTGATCCACCAGTGCTAACTGCACCAGATGGCTAGCTTGGCCTATGCAGTTATAAATCCTCAGATTACCAAAGTCAGTGATTTTCTAGGTAATGTGGTGATGTTTCCTTGCATACATTTTCAGTTTCCCAGCAACAAAGCCATTTGCATAATTTTCGGCTATTTCTATATTTAGATAATAAACCACACGGAAGGTGAGTATGCTTGGCTCATTAGTGACCTCACAGTATCCCGGCAACAATTCACAGTGGGAGGCTAAGGGAACGGTACATTTTAGCGTCCAGCAGACCACTTCCTGAGAAGAGCAGCCAGTTATCTTCCTAACCTGCTTAAAATGAAACCCACTCACTATGGCAGTTCAAATATTCTACAGAGTACAAGTATCCTGAGACAGTGACACTCTCCAGTACAGTCAGGAGACATGGGCCTTTTCTCTTCTGGGGAAAGATCAGCAGCTAAATGATAATGAAAGCTAACAAGCCCATGAACCAGACATTATCAAAGTCAAACCAGGGGTCCAACTCTTCAGTAGGACAAAGATAATACCTGGTTCATGGGCTTGTTAGCTTTTATTTGAGCACAGGTGAAATAAACCCCAGGCTGAATTGTTAGCTATAGCCTGGAGCTCAGGTGTCATCAGCACAGTCAGAAAAACAGGCATAACAGTATTGGACCTCTGAGATATTGGGAGGATACTCCCTGTTCAAGAGTATTTCTGGCTGGTGATTTTTTTATTTTTTTTTAAATATTGAATGGATACAGAGTGTTACTAAAAACACACATTTCCCTTATGCATTTAGCATTCTTCCGTTTGAGAACACCAGACGTTACCTGAGCCTAGGCAAAAGAATCTCTCCCACAAGCCTGCACACACCCTGGCTTAAAATACATCCATAAGAAATAAAGGTTTGTGTGGCACTTCCCTGTTATCAACACTGTTTATAACCACCATTTCCTAGACTTACAAGGCTAGCAGAGGAGTTACCTGTGAAATCCTAAATGGAGGGTGTATTGTGTCAGGACTAAATTCTCAGTCACCAGATTGTAGCTGTGGGCAAACTCTGGCTCCTTCTCAGTCACAGCTGGAATCAAACATGTTTCTTTTTCCAAGCCTTAAATAAATTAAAAGCACCAGTGAATTAACACTGCCCCGCTGGGTTTGGGAAGGGGACTTCAGCACAGTCAGAAAGACCCGACTTGGTGTGGGTGATATTTTAACTTTTTTCAGCTTCTTTATTCCTTCCCCACTACCCATCTAATCTGTTGCCTCCTTTTCCTCCTGGAGAGGCATGAGGTATAGTGTTGTAGGGGAGACAAAGTGCTTCTGAGCCCAGATGGAAGCAAATGCAACACAAGGCGAGCATAACATTTCTAGCATACCTACCTTTCATATGCACGTTCTTACTTCTCCTCTCCTCTTCATTCAGCTCTTTCAGGGCACAGTAGGTGGGATCGAAGGTGAGAAGCCTAGGAGATCTGGGTTTACAGAATGGCTGGCACAATTTCAGGAGGGCAGCTCCTAGATTCAGAAAGAAGGCATCCGAGGCATACATCTGGAAGAAGATCTCTGGCATCTGGTTAGCCCAGATTTTGGTACGGCCTGCATTGGCATGGAGACAGTTTCCAAGCCAGGACAGAATCCTGTGTTTGGTCTCTGGAGACAGCTGTAACAGGTTCTTCAGCATCTGGTAGATTTTCTCATGGAACTGGGCCATAAACTGTCACAAAAAATAAAATAAAAAACCCAATCCATCATTGAAGGCATTTTTGAAAAAGACCCATTTCACTTGCACTTTCCAAGGTTGGTCTGAGAGTTCACAAGTCATCCTAATCTTCTGGAAAGTCCCTTAGGGCCTGCCTACCCTGCCGCTGGGAGCTTGCCTCCCGGCCTGGCTAGACACTCATGGGAGCTCTGCTCCAGCTAGCATGCTAAAAATAGCAGTGTGGACATTGCTGCCTGGGCAGTGACTCGGGCTAGCAGCCCAAGTCCAAACCTGCCTGCCCCTGGGTCCGAGCTCAGGTGGCTAGCCGGAGTTGTGGGTTCAAGTGATAATTGTTAGTGCGCTAGCTCAGAGGGAGTTAGTGCGAGTCTGTCAACCCCATGCTGGGAAGAATGCTCCCAGCTGGAGTGCAGACACACCCATAGGTGTAGCTCCCACGCCCCCTTACCAGTGTCTCCTGTCAGACAACATGTCATGAACAGAGCAACCCTGAAGCCAACAGCAAAAAGCAAGGAGGACACTTTAAGAGATATAATGAATTGTTTCAAAGGAAAGTAAAACCAAACTTCTTTATAGGTGACTGGGTGGAAAGATGGTCTTGTGGTAGGGCACATGACTGGGAGCCAGGTGATCTGGGTTCTGCTCCTGGATCTGCCAGGCTCTCTATAGGGAACCTTTGTGCTTGAGTCTTCTCACCTGCAGAACAGGGATTACAGCTATCTTCCAGGGTTTGTGATGCTTCATTCATTAATGTCTAGAAAGTTCTTTAAGATTTTGCAGTTCTGCAGCACCTTCCATCTGAGCAATCCAAAGCATTTTATCCACATCCATGGAGTTATTCTCCCAACACCCTGGAGGTCTGTGCTATCCTCATTGTACAGGTGGGGAAACAGCATCACAGCACACAGAGGTGGAGTGACTTGCCAAGGTCATACAGCCATCCTGTGGCAGAGCCTGGAACAGAACCCAGATCTTCTGAGCCCAAGTCGTTTGCTGTAACCCATTACAAGGCTTCCTTTCCTTAGGAATACACACTGTGGTTCAGTATTAGAAAGTGGCACTGATGCACTTCAGCTCGACCTGATGAATGTTGGATTCCTGCACTTTGATCTCTTGTGGACTGGATCGGGATGGATTCAGAAAGTATCCATGATTCTCCACTACGCCTGGGGTCTTTAGCAAGCAGGAGATGCTCAAGATGACTCCTAGCAGGGTCTTCTGATACATTTGCCCATTGGTGGGGTCCTTTGGTTGAATGTAGTCTACAAAAACCTAAAGAGATGAAAGAGGTGCATGCTATTGTTCATAAAAGTATGAAGAGAACCTGTTGATTTGGGAGTGGTCAGAGAACAGTAGGAGTAACTTGTTAGAGAAGGAACGGGGGAACAAATTATTTCATTCTCACTCTTGTTTTTTCTCAGAGAGGATGAAGATAAATACATAATTTGTGAATCACGTAGGATGCTGCACGCAGCCAATACACAATCCCTTTACTACAGCTGGAATGCATGGGTCATAGCAACACACTACTGAGAGTGCACATTCACCAGAGCAGAATGTGAGCCCTGCACATATCCAGCCTGTCATTTCGTAACAAAGCCAAAGCAAAAGCCATTAGCCACCGCACAGGAAGGTACATCTACATCAGACCCACCAGCCTGTGGACGTATTCAGTTTCTCTCCTTGTTGGCGAGCTCATCAGCAAGGCTAAGCGTCAAAGGGCCACAGAAAGTGAATTACTCTCTTTTATGTAGAGGTAGTCTTTCTGGGTAATGGCAGAGGCATATTAGTGGGACAGTGTAGAGGGAATTTGCTCTGCTGCCGCCTATGTAGCACTTTTCCAGGGGACAGCTGGCACTTTTCACCAGCACTAACACACACTTACCTGTGCTATATCTTTCTGTCTGGTGAAATAGAGGAGCATATCCAGATATGTGTACAGCAGATTCTGACAAAGGTCCAGGTCTTTGATTCTACCCAACAGAATATCAAACACAGGAACCATGACCTCCCCAAATGTCCGTACTTCCTCATCCATTGTCAAGGCTTCTATGACCTCCTCAAGAAACTCAGTCACATCTTCAAAGTCTAAGAAAAGAAGTAAAGGGCAGGGGTAGAAAAACATTTAACAGAAATATTCAAAGTATTTTTAGTGGCTTCAGCCCATTAACACTTCAGGTTCATCTCGTTATAATCCTTCACCATCAGCCAATTAGGTAACACCATATTGTCAAATACCAGCCATAGCAGGACGGCAGGTCACGCGTACAGCAAGCTCTGGGGGGGGGCTGCATGGGTTAGCTCATGCTTTAGCAAGTCCATATCTAGAGACTCCTGAGATATTGACTACTTAGGGATAAATTAAATCAAGAGACAAGAATTTCCAACACATTTTAAAGTAGAACCAATTGTGCTTGACAAGGACAGTAGAAACATTCTTATCACTAGACACATTTTCCTCCTGCCAAGTGGACATAGTTGTGTTTTCAGATGGGATAAGGACACTAAACATATTTGAACTTCCCCTCCGATTTTAAATCCCTTATAAAGGGGGGGGGTCTCAGTATTTTATTCTGTAGAATACTTTGTTAGAGAGAGAGAGAGAGAGAGAGAGAGAGAGAGAGAGAGAGAGAGAGAGAGAGAGAGAGAGAGTACGTACGTACGTACGT